AGAAGGTGTAGAAGAATAACAAGGAAAATAAGAAAGTTTTGTTGTGAAAAAATAAAATAAAACTGGCCAGGGAATGCCTTAGGATTCACCCGGAGGAGCTGACCTGAGAAGAAAGTCTGGGCCTCTCTGCTTAGGCTGCTGCCCCCGAGACCCGACCCCAGATAACCGGAGGAAAATGGATGAACGGAAAAAACAAACAAACAATTTAGCCAACTCAGAAGATAAATGTCATCTTGGCATTGTCATCTTGGAATATACCCATGCCATCAAGGAAGATGGAATAACCTGGTCATTCAGTACATTCAGTAAGTCAGCTGACATAATTCTTGGAGCGCATCCTGTTGCTGAACCTAGACCTGGCCAACTGCATTAAGCCCAGATCATAACACTGCCCCCACAGGCTTGTTTAGTAGGCACTAGGCATGATGGGTGCATCACTTCATCTACCTCTCTTCTTACCCTGATGCACCATCACTCTGGAACAAGGTCCATCTGGAGTCATCAAACCAGTTTTTAAGCTTTGGACAGCTCATAACCCAATTTTAGCTGTTTCTGCAAACGCCTTAGATGTTTTCTGTGCTTGATGCATGCCAATAATCTGACCCTTCTCAAACAGACTCACATCTTTACCTTGATCACCAGATCTTTCCACATGGTTGTTTAAGAAATGAGAAGTTGGGATTAAATTACTTGTTGCAGCTGAAAGAAAATCGCCCATGCAGTAAATATCCAATAGGAGGATCGTACCTATTTGCTTAGTTAAATCCAGGTGGCGACTTTTTTTGGACAGGCGATGTATTTCAGAAGGTTTTTATGTTGCAGGAGTTGTTTGATCACATTTTGCATTCACAGCCACCTAGGCTACGTGCAGATGAGCACATCACTCATCTTCCCTCAGTCAGACTGTGTAATGTTTGCATTAGTTCATTGAGTCCTGAATTCACTGTTTGATGAGTCCACAGTGCAATGAGGGCTGACAATTAGCCTAATGAAGTGCAGCAGAAAATCACACTCAGTGCTGTGTTAACAGTTGCTCGGTGAATATTCATGCGCTGTTGGTTTTGCAGATGTACTAAAAGGCGGCGCAGTGTTGCTGAATACCAATCATTACATTTCCAGCCGTCGCTCGTCTGCTCCCTCACCGAAGGTGACATCCTGATTGCCATAAGGCTTTTATTGAGTGAAACGTGGCAAAGAGCCAATGTGTCCAGCTACAGCCGTCCGATATTTGATGCGATTCATTTTTCAAAACAAACATTTGTTACTTATTATATTGTATGAAATAGTTGATCTTTATGTAAATATTTTATCATGCAAAAGGAGAGTTTTAAATGCCTCATTTTGTGTTGCTATGTGGGTCTTTGTTAGCCTGGCCAGCCATACTTTATATGTGACTATATAGCCTGGCCACAACCCATAGACAGAGCTCAGTCGTGGGGCAGAATCTACGGTTGTTCTTCAAACTGTCTCCACGTGCTATTAGCCAATGCTAAGGCGAGTCAGAGCAATGACCGTGACTTACTCACCACTATGAATGTCAGTCAACAGGTAAGTCCGCCACGCATTGTCAGCGAAGACGCAAATACGTCCTTTTTTCTCTGCTGTTTCTGTCATAGTTTGGTTTTAGGAATTATGTGCATAAAACAAGCCATTTCAGAAAGTGCCCCGTTTGTGATGTCACATACATAGAAATTTGCATAGAACCACCTTTCACCTCTCCAGGCAAGAGGAGCAGCAGGTCTAATATGAGCCCCTTCCACTGATCAGAGCTACTCAGCTTATAGCAGCCTGAGTGGGTGATGGGTGGGCGTGGCCAGCTGCAGCTTCTTTTCTCAAAGTGACAGAGCCCAGAAACGGCTCATTCTGGAGGGTACTGAAAATGTCAAGAATAAAACAGCTGCTTTATGTGAAAGGGATATGGTGCAAAGATCTTCATTAACATGTTTTGCATCAACCATATTATCATTGAAGGAAAAAGTCACAATAGGTCTCCTGTAAGACCCAAAAGGCTAAGAGGCAGCAAACAAACTTTTCTTACTTAAAGCAAAACAAGAAAGCAAATCAGAACAGAGCACATAAGAAATACAAATAAAAATCTCGGTCTTTAAAAGTTCGGGGTGGAAGAACAATGTGCCAGGTGTGTCCAGCTCAGACCAGGTGCAGACTTACATGAGGGATGACTTGAAACAATCCAGGGAAACCAAAAGAAAAACAACAAAAAGACCAAGGAAACCTCAACTAAACCCAGAAAAACCTATGATCTTTCTAAAACATTCTAACAAGGTCCATATACGTCTGAGTTATAATTAAAATAGATATTTGTTGTGCATTAATTAGAGAATGCCTTTTTACTTGGTTAATTTTGGGATGCCGCAGACATGCACCGATACAGCAGCATACCAAAGAGTTCTCAGAGGTTTAACTGAATCCATGATATCAGTTCAGAATCCGATCCGTTTTACTACAGCTCCAGCTGCATGCATGATGATCATAAACCTCAGTTGCTGAGCAAGGAAATGACCTTTTTAGGACTTTACATGATGAAATCCCCAAATTCCTACACATCTTAAGCTAAGATGAGGTGTGGTAGTAGTTAAAAGTGTCATCCAAGAGCAGTACATGTTGCACAAGATCTTTTGACGTCAACTTTGGGAGTCAACCCTTTTCAAGATGCTGCCAAAGCTCATCACCATTAGCAAACACACAAAAAACCGCTATGACTCAGGCTATTCCACTGAGCTAAGTGTCATGTGACGTAACTTACATTCACAAAAATGTTTCATTTTGATCTTGCAATGCGATGTGAAACTGAACTTTGCTATTTTCAGTTGATTGGTTTTCAAAATAAGACAATCTTAGTTTAAACTCTGACATGAAGAGTGGCAGGTGAGAAGCATTCTGTCATATTTAATATTTCCTATTCGTCAAGGAATGCTAGGGTTTAAATTGATCCTCTTTTTCAAGAATTCACTAGTTTTTTCTCTCATCGTGGTGGTCAGCCAGGCCAGCGTTCTGGGCAGCACAGACTGAGGTCCAGGCCAGCCAGATGGAAGTGAGATTATCCTCCATTAGATGACATAATTCCATGGTGGCTGTTATTTCCCAGACACCAACAGAACCGCCAGCTGGTTCTACAACAGCATGTAGGTGCTGATGGTTTTTCTGATCATTTCAAACTAAAATACTGACAGAAATCCCAGAAAAATCACGATTATTTTTATTTGGTGTTTCTTCAAATGGATGTTTCAAAATCAGTCAAGAATTTGAGTTGGTTTAATGCTGTTTGTCTCATTCATCTCGCTGTTTTCTGTAATTATCATCATGTATTAATGGTTGTAATTTTGTTTCCTCACAATCAACATGATGAAACTGCAGAGCAGACAGCTCTGGAAGAAGGATCGACTTAAAAAAGTGAAGGTTTTCCGTTTGCACTGGGTGCATATTTAATAAAACATGTAAACAAATGTTTGTATCTGAGTCATTTGTGGGATAAATGCAAACAGTCCAAAACTAAGCAACCAGAACAGATTCAATAAAACATGAACATCACCAGAGACTTGTGGTTCTGAGGGTAAATGGGTTTGAATAAACTTAGTCATGCATTTGATCCCTGCAGAGCTGTAGCATTTATGATGGCGACCAAACCAGAATAGTCAAACTGGATGTTTAAAGTCAGCCCAACACTGCCACCTAGTGGTGAATGAGTGTAAATGGTACCTGAATTAGTGCTCTTTTTAAACTGGAATTAGTTTGAAGCATTTAGAAAACATATAAAACAAATAGATACGTGATATTATTCTGAAATGTGCTTAAAATATTCTTTACAGCATCTAAAATCATTGGTACTACAAACCAACTTCAGGTGATTGAATAGGGAAAAAAACATGAATCCAAACTTTTTCAACACTGTCTCTGTAAAAGGAGCATGGGCTAGCTTACTTTGCTAATGTGTTAGACAAAAACAGCAAAACGAGAACTAAAAAGTAAAAGGAATTTCTTTACAACAGGAATTAGGACATTTCTTTGTCACATAAACAAAAGCAGAGGAGTTTTACGATGGCAGTTTTTTCTCTCGTGTCACAACCCCAGAGTGACCAGTTAATAATGAATGTTTAATATTTGTAATAAGATATATGAAAAAATAAATAAATAAAATAATGCGCTGCAACATGACTTTGAATGAATCCAGAGGCAAAACTCTGAACCCCAAACAAAACATGTCACCAACAAGGATGAGCCGTACCCACAATGCTTTGGGGCCACCAGATGTGCAACTAGTTTTAGGCACATTTAAGACTGACGCTAGTTAGCAACTAACGCTTAATTAAAATTTTATTAAAAAATACAGCTGAAATGAAACTGCAGTGTTTAGCATTACATGTAACTGATTAAAAGTATAATTAGATTTAAGAAAAAAAATGTGATTAAAATCAATAAAAATCCACAAATGATAAGGATCCAGTATAAGCTTCCTAATGCTTAAAAACAAACCACCACATGAGCTGCCTGCTGAGTTTTATGTTAAGTTTAGAAAATAAAGCCCTCATTACTTTCACTTCTGAATTATTCATTCCATTTAAGATGGTTACAGACCATTTAGAGAGCCTGTGTGTGTGTGTGTGTGTTACACAAGCAACCCTGACTTGCCCCTACATCTCCAAATAATGTTAAACCTTTTGAGCGTATTTAATATTTACTATCCTATAATAAATGTTCTACTAAACACATAAATGGAGAGGTTTTAATCCAGTAATTGTCGAAAAGGTGATTCTACGCTGACAAAGCGTTAAAACCAGAAAAATCAGTGAAGATGCTGCAGGTTTGAGCTCACGTTGTTCAATAGCAGCTGCTAAACATGTTTTTTTTTACTAAAACTGTGCATCCTACTCATGTTTTCCCATTTCTTCAGCAGATTTAAGGCTCTATGCCAAATGTGATCTCCGTTTAAGTCTTTCATTGGAGATGCGTTACTTCACCGTTTAATCAAGAGGCTTAAAATCTCCCAAAAAAATGAAGTTTAATGTGGAACGACAGATGACACAAAGTGTACAGAGATCAGTCTCTGAAATGAAGACGTGATGACAACAAAGAGCTTCTCTAGACGGGTAAAATGTCTTCTAGATATTTTATTCTTGGTCAATTAAAACATTGTTGCTTGTGTCGTCTGGAAAAGAACAAATGTTTCTGAAAAGATTAAATAAAACTAGAAGAGCTCTTTTTGATGAAGTTGATACAACCGGGAGGCTTCATGGTTCCTCAGCTTACAGAGAGCTGCAACTTTTTGTTCCCCTTGAGAGGAAAAGATGGAGAACTTGTGGTCTGGAGCAGAATGAAAGTGGGCGTTTCTCTTAGTCTTGTAGAAGCTGTTGGGAGTTTGCCAAATAAGCACAAAAAAAAAAAGATTTGGAGAATTTCTCCACTCGGACCTACCTAAAAGTAAGTAAGTAAAAGTTTGTTTATAAAGCGCCTTTCGCAGATATGAATCACAAAGCGCTGTACAACATGAATAAAATCAGGGCAAATACTTCAAACCGATAAAAACAGATCATAAAAACCAATAGCAGTGACAAAATAGTAAATAAAACCAGGAGTAAAAACAAAGTCAAGGTATGAACAAAGACAAAGCCATCTTTCAGAATGTTTAGTGGGGGGAACACCTAGATGAAAAGGTGAGTTTTTGAATGTTTTTTGAAGACCTCTACAGTTTTGGAGAGATGGAGTTTTGAAGGCAGACTGTTCCAAAGTCAGGGTGCAATAGTCTGAAAGGTCCTGTCCCCTTTGGTTTTTAGTCTGGTTCGAGGAACAGCCAGGAGGTTTTGAGATGTGGATCGAAGCTTCCGTGAAGTGGTGTGTGGGGATAAAAGCTCAGATAGGTAGCTTGGAGCCTGGTTGTTAAGAGCTCTAGAAGTCAGCACTAATACTTTAAATTGAATTCTAAATTCTACCGGGAGCCAGTGGAGGGACTGTAAAAGTGGAGTGATGTGAGTTCGTCTGCTGGATTTAGTTAGGAGTCTGGCTGCTGCATTTTGATGGCATGAAGGCGTGAGAGGGAGGTTTTGCTGAGACCAGTAAAAAGAGCGTTACAGTAGTCTAAGCATGATGACACAAAGGCATGGATGATTTTTTCCAGCTCTGCAGTTGAAACCAGTTTACAAACTTTTGAAATGTTTCTCAGGTGAAAGAAACAAGAGCGGGAGATGGTTTTGACATGTGAGTCTAAACTTAAAACTGGATCAAAAATAACTCCCAGGTTTCTGTTGGACTTGGCTGTCGGGCAAAAGGAGGCAATTTCCTGCTTGATTTTTGGTTGAAGTTCCGGTGGTGCAGAGATCAGGGTCTCTGTCTTGTTGGCGTTGAGAACAAGAAAGTTGCTGGACAGTCAGTTACTGATCTGGGTCAGGTAGAGTACAAGGGAGGCCAGCCTGTCCAACTGGTGTGGCATGAAGGACATATAGAGCTGAATATCGTCAGCGTAGATGTGGTAGGAGATGTCTGGGAAAGACTGAATGATGCCAGCTAGAGGAAGAATATAGAACGCGAATAGTAGAGGCCCTAGAACTGAACCTTGTGGGACCCCGCAGGTTAGAGAGGCGGTGTCTGATGAAAAGGTTTCCGACTTCACTGTGAATGTTCTGTTGGTGATATAAGAGGAGAGCCAGTCTAGAGCAGAACCTGAGATACCAGCCAGAGCATTTAACCTGTTCAGTAAAACGTTGTGGTCTAGTGTCAAAAGCTGAATTGAGGTCAAGCAGGACCATGACAGAGCACTTCCCAGCATCAGCAGCCACTTCCCAGCATCAGCAGCCATTAGGAGGTCATTATGCACCTAAAAAGGCCAAGAACCTCAGTTTTCCATTGTGTCTTTCCCCTTCATGTCCTTAAAAATAATCACGGGACTGCTCCCTGCCCATATAAGGCATGACATGGTCCACGGCCCTTTTTTCCACCATCTTTATTTAACAGTCCTTCACTTTAAGATGCATGAAGGGAATATATGCTGCTGCTTTCACAAGATCAAGTTGGAATGTGGTGGGTGGGTGGGTGGGTGGTGGGGGGGTAGAGAGGAAGCAAAAATCTGTTGTTTCAGAAGGAGCTCCGCTGTTTCTGCAGCATCCATGTAATTAGAAAATAATTACACGGATGCTAATGAGACAGAAATTACAAAGCAGTTATTTTGAACTGTTGCACAACTTTATATACATCTATATATATGGATATAGACATATAGATACACTTTTAGAACACAGAGATGAGTGCAAAGACTCCATAAAGCAGAGCACAGGGGTAAGCCACCAACAACTGCTGGCCATCCATGGCCAGAGCCGAGATGAAGATCTTTGAGGCGGAGAAACTGCACCATCCGATGATTGTTGCTGTTAGTATAATCCCCATCATGCCCCTAAAATGAAAAAATAAAAAATCTGTATTGGCACCAACGAAATGTACACAAGTTCATAACAAAAGACGACAATTTAAAGGTGAAGTATGTAAGAATGACATGTTATTGTAACCCATTTTTCTAAATAAGTTACTATCTGACTCCAGTTCTTAGTGTCATGCAGTGTTCAGTTTGACCAGCAATTTGAATTTAGTTTTAGTCTTTTGACTACATTTCTTTTTAACTTTAGTCACAATTTAGTCATCCAATTTGTTTTAGTTCCAAGTCTTATTTTAGTCTACTAAAATATATTTTTCTTCTGATGCAATAATTTTCAACTTGTGTAAAGGTAATGTTAACTACAGCTACTTGAAACTGTAAAGAAATATGTAAAATTCACATTTCACACTTTGGATGAATAAAACTATATTTATAATTGTTTAAATAACAGCAATTACTGGAAAATAGCAAAAAGGAGCACTGACACATTGAAATTGTTACTCTCAATAATAAAACAATAAGCAAATCTGTGTAATGTGCAGTAATATTTGTAAACATCCTACCATCAAAATGTATTACTCTAAAGGTAACTAAAGGTAAGAATGGTTTCCGGGTGTATTTATTAGTTTCATTAGATTGACTGATGAAGGTGGGACAGCTGAAAGTTTCACCTCACAAACGCACAGCTAGAACACCGAACACTGCTCATATTGGCTTTAACAGCCACGAAAACAAAAACGATTAGACAACAAGATGTGCATCGTGCTGCTCCATGGTTCGGTTCAGTTCACTGAGCTACAGCCCACCCTCTCCCACCGCCGCTAGCTACTAACAACACCGTAACACCTTTATAACCAAGGGAAACACCGGGTGTGTACTAGACTGCTTTTCCTCCCAGCCGCGGGCATTTTCTCTCTTTAGACAACTTTTACCGCCATAAACATCAATAGATGATGTCTGGTTAGCAGTAGCTTGTCCAAACAGCAGCTGGCCCCAGACTTCTCGTCTAGTCCCGCCTGTGCCGTTTGCTGATTGTTTATTTTTTTCCTGACCTCCAATGTTTTTCGTTTTCTGACTGGATTTTCGTTTCTGTCAATTTTCGTTCTCGTCTCTTATTCGTCAACGAAAATGTCGGTCAGTTTTCATCATAATTCAGGCGTGTATGTTTTTGTTTCGTTTTAGTCCGCAAAACTTAATTCGTCACAACCCCCCCCAAATAAACACTGGTGTCTTGGCTGTTGCCAGTTAGGGATCAGCAGCGGAAAGTTCAAGATGACAAGCCAAGACGAGTCATATACAGTAAGTTAATACATAAGTCTGGTGCTTGCACTCTTGGGCGTTTTACAGTAGGGGCACTTACTACACTATTTACGGTAAAATTTCTCTGGCATTAGGGTTAAAGTCCCATTAGAAATTTGCCCCATCCCCTGGGGGAGCGGTGAGCTGCAGACGCAGCCTTGCTCGTGAACCATTTGGTGGTTTAACCGCCAAGCATAAGTTCTTTATTTGTGTATTTATAGAATCGTAACACCTTAAAGAGTTTGGTGTGTGAACTCACTGTAATGACAAAATGACTCCGAAGCTGGAGAGGAGAATCATGGGGAGGAGACAGTATCCCAACACACTGGCCACGCAGCCGAAGGACACGCCCGTCATACTCATCAGATTGAGCAAGCAGTACATGCCGAGGCAGCCAATCGCACTGATGCCGTACACGTAACCAAACTGGATTTTTCCTGACTGTAAATAAAACACAGCAGGAACAAAAAATACCTTAAACAGATGTACAAGTTTAGGCGTTTGACTGCATTCAGGTATAAATAAGTCAGCTCCAGCTTCACAGAACAACAAAGACTAACAAACCTCTGCAGGGAAGATCAAGGCCCACATAGCAAACGTCTCACTACAGTTCAAAATAGGACAACACTTTTTTTGTGGACAAATATCCTTGGACAAGAAGAAAACAGGTTTTCAAAGGGGCAAAGAAGTCCAGGTGGTCTTTCGGGCCCCCCCTGCTTGATTGATGGATGAATACTTCTATACATTTACTGTATGAGTCTATTTTTAAAACAGAGTCTAAATGTTTTGTTTTCTGTAAAAGTTTATGTCAAAATAAAAAAAAGGAGATCTGCTCTTTAAAGTCGTTTAACCCAAAGACTTACCAGTAGAAGTGTTGCACCAAACGCCAAACAGAAAACCATGGGGCCAGCTAGGTCGGTCTCGTTCATGATGCTGCCATCGGCTGCTTTCATCGGATGGAGCACAGTCAGAGTCTTCTGCCAGATGTGGTCAAAGTTGATGCCTAATTCTAAAAACAGGGTGGCACAGCTGTGATTAAACATTTATGGGATCACTGATCTCAATTTAATTGTGGGCATCAGATTAAATAATATTTTCTTAACTATTTGAAGCATTTAAAGCAGCTCAGGTTAAATCTGAAGGTAAAGTAATCAAAAAGATAAAACAAGTGGAAATTACATTTAAAAACTATTATCTAGTTTAACATCCAAACTCTGAATGAATGAGGACTCCACATACAAATTTGTTGTGTTCAGAACTTTGTTGGCTATTTGGCGTCGGTCAACTATAAACTATGATAATAGAGGGCAGTACTTCTAATCTGTTAGCCAATAGCAGATAATGTTCGGGGGGGGGGGGGGCTGGGGGGGCTTCACCTTTTGGTTTGGGAAGATGTCATTTAAAAGTTTGAAGCTAACATTCGGATGCTAACGGGGATTATGAGAGATACATAAGAGGGAAATCTGGAATGTCTCCAGCGGTCTATGTCTACTGTTACGTGGGATTTGTTATGGATAAACTACTTAATTAGAATAGTTGTATTGGACTTCCAAATGTAAAATGACCATTTGTGTTGGAGACGGCTCTATTCTGTCAATGATAAGTGACTCGAACGGTGAGTTAGACGTCATTTAGAATTTCTGTGTGGCTTGACAAACGTTTGTGTCTATACGGTCGTTCTGAGACATGAGATTGCATGTTTTTTGGTGAACATTAATATATATATATATATATATATATATATATATATATATATATATATATATATATATATATATATATATACACACATACATACATACATACATACATACATACACACATATATACATACATACATATATAAATATATATATATACGCATACATATATACTGTTTACATTGTTTTAATGTATATCCCAAAAATAAATTCTGAAGGTAAGCTGTTTAAATTATTTTATTATCTTTCTGAAGGTGTGGCGGCGCGCCACGGCAAAATACACATGGCGAAAACGCTGTGTACATAGAACAAGGTTGCAATTTCCCATCTGTGGGACTAATTCATACGCAAAAATATTATACACTCATAAATAATGGTCGGTGAAGGGCTTGGCCACTCAACAGGTTTATGTGCTGGACAAATACACAACAAATGGTTTGCCATAGATGTTTTTGTAACCATATTTTTATGTTTTACCTTCTAGCAGTGGCGGCTCATCATCAAAGCTGTTACTGTACATGGACTGTGACGCTGATGGAGTGTAGGTCTGTGTGGGCTGAAAGATTTGTCCTGTGTATGGCTGCTGGGGTTGCATCATTCCCGGGGACGGATAGCTCATAGGCCGGGAGTAATCATACTGACCATATTGTCTAGGAAAAGAAATATCACCAATGAAAACAACAAAACCAATAAAGGCAAATAAAACCTGACATGGAGACTAAATAAAAACATTAGCATACAGCAAAGAAAATCTGTGTTTTTGTGAAGAGGATTGCAATCGCAAATCATTGCTTAAAACCTCTAAACATCACACTGAATATGAAGAAAACACATATTTTAAAAAAAAGTGAAACCAAGTAGTTTTTAGCACTTGAACAGGTATTTTAAAGACACAATTATTGTGTTTAAAGATCTCTTAATAACAAAAAGTGATGCAGATCTGGAGAACTTTAGTCTCTTACTTGTTGTCGAGGTTTTCAGAGTTGCTGTAGCCATAGCCGCCCTGATTTTGGTCATCTACGCTGTAGGTGGACTGGTAAAAGTCTGTGTTGAAGTTATCAAACCCTGACATTTCTTACTCTGTTGATACAATGAGACACAAATGAGAACAATGATTAATGCCCTCAGTTTAAATTATGCACATTCAGAAGAAATCATTAAGTCTCCACACACATCAAATATATGGAGAGAATCAGAGTAAAAAGTGTGTGTGTGTGTGTGTGTGTGTGTGGGGGGGGGGGGGGGGGGGGGGGTATTTTCACAACACAAGAAGCGGCTGAAGAGCTACAGTAAAATTAAGGCACATACTATTATTTATAACAACAACAATAATAATAGATTCAGCTTTACCAGACAAATTGACAATAATTAAATAATTTTATTGGATGAGACAATTAGTTTTAAGTTTAAAGAAGCTAATTATTTAGTCTTACCATGCCTTGTAATAAGCTTTAACCAGTTTCCTTAAATTATAATAAAACATTTACCTCAGCTACGTGTATTCAATTCTGCATAATATGTTTTATAATGAGTTGTGATTTCATAACTTGTCTTCAGTTTTGATATAATGATCAAAACTGAAGTTAATAGTCTGAACATTGGGTACATTAAATAAAATGGATTTTTTCCCCTAGGAGATCTCGCAAAATAAGTGGAACGTGTCGCAGACTGTGGACAGTTTAGTTTTAAAAAGCTAAAAAAAAAGAGCTAAACTCTAAATAACCACATATGTTTACTTTTATTAGGTAATTGACGAAGAGCATCGCTGATTAGCTTATTCACGATAACTGTAGCTTCCTCAAACGATGCTATCAATTTAGAATAAAATTAGGGAAACAACTACAAGCTGCTAATTATTAATATTGTAACCCGCTCATTTACAATATTAATAACATTTCTCTAATACACTATTGAATAATTGAAACCACGTAATAAAACACATTATTTGAACCCAGAAGACAGTTACTCACTCAGAAGGCTAACCTAGTTTAAACTGCAGCTTAGCTAGCAGCTTGTTAGCTAATGCTGGCTAGTGGTAGCCAAAAACCAACATGTAAACATTCCACATATCCAGGTCCGATGTTACAGTATTCTTTCACACGAAATCATATTTACGTTCCGATAAACAACACATCGCAAGCACTAACCTGTGATACGCACAACCGTAGTCAGCGTCCTGCCAACTTTACAGTGGTTGCTACGTGTCAGGAGGAGAAAGGTAGCCGACGGAAACTCATGAGGGACATGACACTTTACTAGTGGCAGAATATGTAGTGCCGTCTAAAGGCACGTTTTGGTATTACTTCATCTTAAATATGAACTCCCCAAATAAGTGAACAGTGCACCATTATTTTTGCTTAATATTAAAACATCGTTTTATTTATTACAGATTCTATATATGGAAGTTACACAATCTCCCACAAACAAACTAACACATGAATAAATAAAAGGGACAAATAAAAAAATGACACAAGCCTCTTAATTTTTTTATGTGGATATTGGCACACCTAAAACAAACTCTCACTGCACTGTGTATGTTTAGCAGATCACGTAAATTGAATTTGTACCTGACACAACCATGCCTGAGCAATCCATTTAAAAGTCAAGAAGTCAGAAAATAAATCATTTGTTTGTGGCGTTATTACCAGTTTTACCATAGTCATTTCCAGAAAAAAATGAGGACAAGAGGGACAGAGGAGTTTGATTGGTGTGAGAAAAAATATTTGAAACATCAATGTGGCAAAGATGAAAGAGGTGGCAGTGGACTTCAAAAGAGCACCTTACATCCCTTCTCTCATCATCAATGGATGCAAAGTTGTGGATCTGGCAGACACAGCTGAGTACTTTTGGGTTGTCTACTGGCTTTTGCAGACACAGTGTATAAAAAGGCTCACCAGCAGCTGGTAAGATCTGCTGAAACGCAATAAACAGGACCATTCTTTCCCATAAAATAAATTTACATCAGCAGATGCAAAACCAAAGCAAAGAATATAATGACAGAATCCTCCCATCCATCCCATAAACTGGTTCCTCCCCTTCCTTCAGGCAGAAGATTGAGCAGACTCAAAGCCTGGACCAGAAGGCTAAGGGACAAATTCCACATAGCTAAATAACTTGAGTCACAAAGACAAAGACAGAAAAGCAAGAACATCAGCTTTGATGTCATAAATTACAAGCCTAAGCTTACAACTACAGAATGGAGATTTTCTGATGCACACCATCAGAACAGAAGCACAGACAAATCACCAAAAGGTCAAAGAAGAACCTCTTCACATCATATGTTTTTGTAAAAAAGTGACAAGCATATAAAAGGCACCACATTAAATTCATAGAAAATACTGCCGCTGCCCGTTGAGCCCTCATTCAGATCACGTTGTGTTATGACATATGGTTGGAGGAAACCAAAGAATAATGGTGGCAAATATGCTAAGCAAATATAACAAAAGGTAATGTAACAGGACAAGCGCCGGGTGGCTGCAAAAAAAACAAAGGAAGTCTCTTTCAACAGAATGCAGAGAGTTGGGATCAGTCACTCCACATGTGCAGGAAGGGACAGATAATGCAATTTATCAGTCCATGACCCCTGGGTGGGGAAATAGGAAATAAGGATCAGAAGCAGAATAACACACGCTGGATTAAAATGGCAGGAAAATAGAAACAATGAAAAGAATAAATACAAAAAAGAACATTAATACACACAAAAAAAAACATGTCAGAAATATTTCTAACGACTGCTGGCTGAATCTTTTACCCAGACCTTATTCAAACTGAAATATTTTCCCATCTCTGTGCAGAAACAGAATACTCTTGGCAATCATGACACAAAAATACATTACACATAAATTAACTTCAGCAGCGTGGAAAGGGAACTAAATTATACATTTTTGTCTGTCCTGGAGATACACAAATATTTCTAGAATGACAGGTTGGAAAATAATACACGCAGAGAAATGCATGAAGGGGAAAATATCTCATTATTCACATGTGACATATTGAATATTCTCCACCTTTGATGGTAAACACCTTCAGAGTTGTCTCTGAAATGATTCTGGTAAACACTCTGGAGTGGTGTTGCCTCATCAAAGTTGCAAGAAGGAAACTTACATGACAAATACTGTCTGACTCTTGTTGAAAGCTACACCATATATAGCAAATAAGTCCACTGTGAACTTTTACAGCACAATGTTTTCGACTTTTGTGCAAGATCTGATGAAATCAACTTATACGGCTTGTAAGAAAAACTCAACCTTCTCCTTAAAGTAACGACAAAGACAAAACTTCTCAGCCGCACAGAATCTGATAAATGATCAGTTTTGGAATAAACAAAATCACTTAGACTCATGAAACATGAATCCTTAGTGTAAGAGTCCATGACTGATCACGAGTAAGAAATGACTCGCTTCTTCTTCATGGCCTTTTATCATTTTCAGACTGTTAATCCACTTTTATACATGATGAACATGTCTCTCTTCTTAATCCACTTAATTCAAGAAAACTGAAAAGTGCCAGAGAGGGTAATTGAATTTAGGGAAGTGCATTGCCATTTACTGTCATAATTGCCTCCTTTAATATAGTCTCTGCTGTAATCCTGCTGCTGCTGTTTGGGTGGATGAGTGGATTAAAACCACTGAAGTTCTTTTGATGCAGCAAATCCTCATCTATAACCACCTACTGTAACCTCAGTTGGTTTTTTATTACTCGCCCCACCTCCACAGCATCAAGAGGAGAAGGAAATCTATGCTAATAGGTGCTGTTCTTACTTTCTTCTGGAAAACCCAGCATTTCCGTGTCACTTCATTGACGCTAGAACGCTCGGGGATTCCTAGATTAAACCGTGAGCCGGCGTTTCACCGACACTATCACTTCCGCGTCTGTGAGACCACGCTCTCTACAAGCTCAACTCCCGTATCCAGCCGACCAGTCTGACAGTTTCAGGGACTGACCACAGTGAATCCATTCACTGTGATGGATGTCAAAGTGGTCATAAATTTTGCAGTATTTTCTTAGAAAAGTTTTTCTATCTCAACCACAACTTCTCGTGCTGCAGCTGCATCAAAGAAGAACCTCTACAGACTGATGCTCCATACATTAAGTTGACATCAAGTAAGATGCATTTTACCCACATAGTATAAGAGGTATAAAATGAAAACAAGTTAGATTATTTTCATGTTTTTATTCATAATGCTGTGCTTTGATGTTTGAAAGAATATTGCTCATAATCATATAATCATGTTTAATAAAAAAATGGATGCAATGGCATGCAAAATATAAAAATGTCCATTCAGGATAGTTTTTCATTAAAGAACATCATCAAAGACCTTGAAAAATGATGTGAAAAAAATGTTGCAGGAGGAACTGATGAAAATTTCTCCCAAAAAATAAAAAATAAAATAAAAATTTGGGTGATCTTTGACAGATTAACTATACATTCAAAAATCCTTTGGGAAAGATTATAGCCTCTTTGGTGTGTGCTTGCTGTGTTTAGTCTCAAATTCCATCTTTCAGTTCTTTTTAAAACACAGAAAAGGTTTATTTACCTGCAACGTTTCGTTTGCGGCTGCAAACATCATCAGGCGATGGTGGCGTCAATTCCTTGGTTTATCCGCAGGCAGCAGAGGACGTTGTCGCCCTCTGCTGCCCGCTCTCCCCTCTCCGATGATGCAGTCCTATGTGTGTAAACTCCATCATCTCTGTTCATGGTCCCACATCCACGTCTCCTTATCTCGATAGCTTCTTTTATCCATCTTTTGTATTTCTGTTGTTCAGTGTTTATGATCCTTGTGTTGTCCCAGTCCATTATATGGTTTTCTCCTGTGCAGTGATCTGTTATGGCTGACTTCTTTATTGTACTTTCTACTTCTTCTTTTGCTGCTCTTGTGTGTTTTCGACTTGCCTCTTTCTTGCACTCCTTTCTATGTTCTATTGTTCGTGTGTTGAGTTGGCGTCCGGTTTCTCCTATGTATGTTTTATTGCAAAGTTTGATTGGGATTTCGTAAACAACTCCACATTTAAGTCCAGCTGGTATTTTGTCTGTTGGGTGTACTAGTCTGTTTCTAACTGTTGTGTATGGTTTTGTTGGTGTGTTTATGTTGTGTTTTTTCATTGTTACTCTTATTTTTTCTGTTATGCCTTTCTTTTTGCTTAAAACCTCAATAAGTCATAGTGCATTTAGTGCCAACCACAGCCCAAAATAATCTGTCAACAATGCCCGAGTCCTTACATGTGAGAGCACCATGTGAGCACCTGTGTGCATACAAGGTTTGTCTATAGAAGTGCCCAATAGTGAGTATGAGAGGTTAGGATTAGTGTCTCCCATGGTCTTCTACTACAAACCATTGCAAATGTATTAAAATATGAGTAAACTTAATATTTAAAAAATGGAAAACTTGAAATAAACTTGAATTGAAGCAAAAAGTTAAAAAAACTCACAATCTAAAATGTCTTTTTTTCTGAAGTTTCCCATTTCAGTAACAATTTTTATTTATCCCAAATGGTTTTAAGATGTCACCCTCAGGGTGACCTGAGGGTGTGTTCCAACTATAGGGGGATCACACTCCTCAGCCTCCCTGGAAAGGTCTACGCCAAGGTACTGGAGAGGAGGGTCCGATCGATAGTTGAATCTCAGATAGAGGAGGAGCAATGTGGTTTTTGTCCTGGCCGTGGAACTGTGGACCAGCTCTATACCCTTGCAAGGGTGATGGAGGGGGCATGGGAGTTTGCCCAACCAATCCACATGTGCTTTGTGGATTTGGAGAAGGCTTATAACTGTGTCCCCAGGGGCACCCTGTGGGGGACGCTCCAGGAGTATGGGGTGGGTGGCTTTCTGTTAAGGGCCATTCAGTCCCTTTACCAGAGGAGCGTGAGTTTGGTCCGCATAGCCGGTAGTAGGTCGGACCTGTTCCCAGTGAGGGTTGGACTCCGCCAGGGCTGCCCTTTGTCACCGGTTCTGTTCATCACTTTTATGGACAGAATTTCTAGACGCAGCCGTGGTGTGGAGTGTGTCGAGTTTGGTGGCAGGAGAATCTCGTCTCTGCTTTTTGCGGATGATGTGGTCCTCCTAGCTTCATCCAGCTCTGACCTTCAGCTCTTGCTGGGTAGGTTCGCGGCCGAATGTGAAGCGGCTGGGATGAGGATCAGCACCTCCAAATCTGAGACCATGGTTCTCGACCGGAAAAGGGTGGCTTGCCACCTCCGGGTCGGGGGAGAGGTCCTACCTCAAGTGGAGGAGTTTAAGTATCTCGGGGTCTTGTTCACGAGTGAGGGTAGGAGGGATCGGGAGATCGACAGGCG